TTTATCTTGGGAGTATTCAATGTGATTATTCCTATTTTATTTTGAAGGTTTGTTGTGATTCTGTAAGACTTCCGTGGTCATGTGATCAGGAGACAGGAAGTGAAGTGTATTGTTATGTGTTACGCTGTCTAAAGGCGCGGTCACACTGGCCATTCGTACCTTGCCTCACGCTTCACCCCTAAAGTCCAGTTCGTTTGGCCAGTGTGACAGCTCCGCCAAACAGGCCTCTTTCTCTCTCTCTCTCTCTCTCTCTCTCTCTCTCTCTCTCTCTCCCTTGTCCACCTGTTTGTAAACTGAGCACGCTTCATAATAACATAAAGCGTGCATGTGTTATATTACGACGTCATGTACAAGAGGTAATCGTGCTTTAGGCACTGTTAGTCCTGGCCAGTGTGAATGGGAATGGCCGTGGGAATGGCGCAGCGGGGGGCCAATCGCGCTTGAGTATGGCACGGTACAGATGGCCAGTGTGACCGCGCCCTTAGTGAAATAAACGAGTGACAGCGGAGCAACACGGTAGTTTTACTGTGGACACATGTTTGAAGCCAACTCAATCCGTAAAACAGTGTAATGTCGTCACTATAGAGTGGTTAAGAAAGAACTAAGTTTAAGAACATAAGATTTATTAAAAAGACCAAAGAAACCACTACACTGAGTATTCAGTTATTTGGAAATGTAGAACTTCACAAGATGCTCTTCTCTTCATTCCTCATGTAGCCTAGGCTAACTGCTCTTCTCTTGCTCAAGGTAGACCGAAAAATTTTGACTTCTTCCTCACATTATGACATTTTTTCGTGGGATATTCCTTCTTTATTCTCAAAATCAATCAACCTCTTAACTACTAAAAGCTACACAATAGCTAATATAAGTTGAGGTGGTGGTTTACCGATGAGGATTGTAGAGTGGTTATAAAATGTTAAAAAATATATATATAAAGGCAGCACATCTCAAGTTCCAAGATGTTTGGTGTTTTGTCCTCCTTCACTTCAAACTTGAGAAGTGCTACCTTTATATTTTCTGAGCTAACCTAAGTAATAATTTCATACCTAAATAACAGCTAGCATACAATAATATCTAGCGCCATGGAGCCTGCTGTCTTCTTTTTGAATTAGTAATTCACCTTAAATAAATGCTGATAGACGCTGAGAGGAAACCGCACATTCCTCTTGCTCAGGTAATCAATGTTAGTGTGGCAGTTTTGATCAATTTACCATTTAAATTTGTGTTAATTCAAAGAGCTGGGGAGGTTAGCTAACTTTACAGTTCGCTAGCTAGTGCCATTAGCTTAGAATTTGAGCCCTTCCCACTTGTTTTTATCTTTTTGCTGTTCCTATGCTGTATGTGAGTGCTCAGTATTTTCTAAAGAAAATCTTCTTCGACTGGCTAGAGTAGCTACCAGCCGTTCACTGTGAAATGTTGCTCGCCCTTTAGTCTGTGCGCAGTAAATTGCTGGCATTGTTGAAAGGTATTCATTTAAAACAAAATAGAAATACTGTAGACTATTTTTTGCCTGTGTGTTTTTACATCCTGCAGAGGTTTAAGTATTGCCAAAATGGTATCAATTAAATCAACATTAAAATTATCCCACTAGCACAGATCATGAAAAAAGGCAAAATAACATACCATACCACTCGTTTGAATGTATTGCTCTAAAAATTCAGATCTCTTGTAACAGATCATTGACTGTGCTAGGTGTATATACACCACCATCAGCTAACCCCAGTGCTATTAATCAATTAACAGAAATGTTTTCTCAGTTCAGTACTTCAGAAATCCTGGTTTTGGGTGATTTTAATTGAAATTGCTTGTCAAATGATTCATTGAGCTTAAAGGAGATGTCTGACAATCTAAATCTATCACAGATCATACCTGAACCAACTAGACCTAATTTGAAAGATCCCTCAAAATCAACATTGATTGATCTTATTTTTACCAATAGAAGGGACAAAATTACAGCCTCTGGGGTCTTCTCCCTAGACATCAGTGACCATTGTCCTCTGGCATGTATAAGGAGTGCTAGACTAGCAAGATCTAAGCCCAGGATTGTACTCAAGAGACAGTTCTGAAATTTTAATGAACAGGTGTTTTTTAATGACATTGTGAACAGGAATATATGTCAAACATCTGAAATACCTGATGTGGATCATGCACTTGAATATTTTACAAATACATTTCTTACAATTATTGACAAGCATGCACCTTTTAAAAAGTTAAGGGTTAAAGACAGCTCAAGCCCATGGTTGTCCACTGAATTATCATTGCTTTTAAAGGAAAGGGACAAAGCCTGGGCTTCAGCAAGAAAGACAGCAGCCCATTGGCTTTTATTCAGACAACTCAGAAATAAATACACATATTCACTGAGAAAAGCTAAAACCTCTAATCACCAGGAGTTGATTTCTAGTTGCTCTTTAAACCCATCAAAATTCTGGAAAGCAGCGAATATAAACAAAAATAAATCCTCCCCCATCTCTCCCTTCTCTCTCTTCCACCTTATTTTTAATCTTTCAATCACCACTGGAGTTGTCCCTCAGGTTTGGAAGTCAGCACACATCGTCCCTCTGCATAAGGGCGGCGACAAAAACAAACTCAACAACTACCGACCAATCTCCAAACTGTCCAGCCTCTCTAAAATCCTAGAGACATTAGTCAACAATCAACTAAAATCATTCAGAAAAAAACACAGCACCACATCAGCAATTACTTTTGTCATAAATAATATTGTATCTGCTGTTGATCAAGGGAAATACTGTGCTGCCCTCTTTGTTGATTTAACTAAAGCGTTTGACACAGTTGATCACACCATACTCCTGCAGAGGCTACATGATGTTGGTTTTGACAATTCCTCATTGAAATGGTTCCAGAATTATCTGTCTAATAGAGTGCAATGTGTGACTGTACAATCTGATCGCTCTGAACACTTACCACTATCAAAAGGTGTTCCACAAGGTTCTGTATTGGGTCCTGTGCTGTTCACGAGCTACATTAATAATATTGCTTCTGTATTTACAATTTGTAAGGCCCATCTCTACGCTGACGACACAGTTTTGTATTGTTTTGCTGAGACTGCACACTTAGCAATGGAAACTTTACAAGAAGCTCTTCACAAATTACAAAATGCACTCCTTGACTTAAAATTATTACTGAATGCAGACAAAACTAAATACATGCTCTTTACATGAGCCAGAAATACCACAGACAATGACTTGCATATAACAACTCTGGAAGGTCACAATATTGAAAGAGTACCTCATTACAAATATCTTGGCATCTGGTTGGATCAATCCCTTTCATTTAAATTTCACATTGATACATTAACCACAAAACTACAACAGCAAATTGGATACTTTTAAAGAAACAAAGTGAACTTCCTTTAGTGAGTAGAAAGCGAATAATTGAAGCCATCTTCCTATCTGTTCTGAACTACGGGGATGTCATTTATAGACACAGTTTATCACTCCGCCCTCAGATTTATCACTGGTGACAAATATTCCACTCATCATTGCATCCTGTACGATAAAGTTGGTTGGCCTTCACTAACAGTTTGAGGTGAACGGCATTGGCTGCTATTTATTTATAAATTCACTTGCGGGTAATCTACCAGCATACATCACTTCTTTATTAATCTGGGCTGTAAATAAGTATCAGACTCGATCAAGTGACTGGCTAATGTTGAGGGTCCCACGAGTAAAAACAAACTTTGGGAAAACATCCTTCACCTATTGTGCTGCACACACCTGGAACACAATACAAAACACATTAAAACTCAATACAATGGTTACCATGGGTCAATTTTAAATAACCTGATCACAATTCACTGTACTCATGAGTGTAAATGTTATTAACTGTAGTTGCCTGTTTACTGCTTATTCTTCTGGTCTATGTATTTTGTCTTTGTTGTTTTTTTGTCTTTGTTTTGTCTCTTATTCATTTTAATTGTACTCTCGACGTCATTGTAAATTAGGGCTTGCCCTCAATGATTTCTCGAGAATAAATAAAGGTTAATGTATATTTATGCAGATAACACACGTTTTTAAATATATTTCTCCAGGTGACTATGGTCCAATATTAGTCAATGAATCAGTGATTGCATGTGCCAAATTTCTCCCAGACAAAAAGTTTACCTTCATTCTCTTCAAACAAAAGAAAAAGAAAAGTCAACACTCCTCCAATTTCTAACAAATCTGACCAAAACCAAAAGACATTTTGTCGTAATCAAGCACTTGGAGCTGAATTTTCATAACTGTATTTCTGAAAACAATGCATAGAAAATGTGTTTCAGTAGGATTTATAAAAAAGCATCCATGTCTATGTTTCAGTAGTTATTACAGTTAAATTCTCTATCTCTAAAGTTAATCAGACTCCACCTGACTGGAGACCACATCAGTCCAGATTTCTGATTTACGCTGGCTTCCTTTTTGAGGAAGAATTAATTCTTCTTCTCTTTAATGAACCTTTCAGACTCCTCAAAAGGTCTGACATAAGGCACCTTCCAGCTCATAAATACAAAATGTGACATTTTATTCAACTCTGGATTAATTGAATGCATTGTGTTTGTTATGTTCTTGTTTTAATAACCATTTTGTTGAACTGATTTAGCTTTTCATAATGCCTTGTATTATGTAACGCAGCGCCAATTGTGTTCTCTTCAGATAAACTTTGTGTGCTCTACAGTAACTCTTGTCCAACCTTTCTTTTGGATTATTTCTGCAGCCAGGGTGAAAAGGTAATTACTCGAAGATCTATTAAGGTTCCTTGGAAGGAAACAAACCCTGTTGTGACTAATTAAATTAAGAACAAAGACTGGAGTTAACATGGCACTCTTCAGAGAGAACTTGAAACACTCAATTCTAACAACTGCCTCCTGTCTGCATACATTTGTTTGGCACTTATAAAAATAAAGAACTTAACGGACTTTTCGAGGATTCGGTTTGGATCCTAACTGCCTGACACCAGAGCCTCAGTGAGACACAATGAAACAAAGAAATCACACAAGCATCAGGTTGTCTTAACACCTATTTATTACCACCATAATATGAGAAATTTGGAAAATACAAAGATCAGCTTATTTATACGTCTGAAAATTTCAAGGAATAAGAAAAATATAAAAGAAAACAAATATGAGGTTATATTGTGTATCACAAATTTTGAGAAAGGGACAGATTATATGTTCAGATCTACAGCGAGTGCAAGAGACACAAAGACCCCAAAAACATGCAGAGTGAAACTTCCACTAGAATATCACTTCATACTGTAGTGACAAGTCTAAAGTCAATCTGTGGAGATAGAGACAGAAGCGTAATGTGTGACGACTGATCTACACTGAATAGTTGAATAAAGGAGCAGATGGTGAACCATCGCCCCCCTGTGGCTGCCTTTAGAATTGAAGTTGCTTTTGAAAATGGAGAAGCCCTTCCTGATTTTATGTTGCAAATCAGACCACTGCAAATTAAAAATTGATAACCTTAGAGAATTGTTTTAATAGTTTTTTCTGTTAATTTCATGATTTGGAGAGTGGAAAAGAGAAGCATCTGTGATTTATATGCGTAAAAAAAATAGTCACCATATCCACAACAATAATCAATAATCTTAAGCAACCAAAAGATCCTTGTTTGTTGAGTACAAATGGTTTGAGAGATCAGAGCTCACGCGTCCACACAAACAGACCGCCATCCCCTCCATGAGCACATTACAGAGGTGAAGGGGGGGGGGGGGGGGTCTGAGGAGCTGCAGCCTGTAGCTGTGGAGTGGAGGGGGAGTGTGAGGGTGTAAAGGGACGGACTGGGCAGGAGGGGAGGAACAGGGTGTTAAGACAGGGGCTGAGGCCTCAGGACTAGCTTTAATAGCACCCTGCTGTGGAAGTTGCAGCTCCCCTTAAGCATACTAGTCCCTCGTACTCGTCCCTCTGCTTCAGCTCTGTTTGCCACACTAACCACAGCTGCTGGCCTCCCACCACGGAAGAATCCAGCAGAAGCTTTTACAGGCAACACCCAAAACTCAGTGACAAAGGTTTAAGAATGTGTGCACATGTACTTCTGATCTGCCAAACCTTTTACATGCACGACAAAGGTACCCTAAAAACATTTGGTGAAGACGAAAAAACCTATGGAGACCAGACTTCGACATATTTCTATATCTTCATAATCAGGGTTACTCTAAAGTCTACTGAGAAGCTGGGCAAGATGGGGTGGGGAGTCGAGAGGAACAGGTGGAGGTGGGTGGGGAAGGTAGAGAGAGGGAGTGAGGGCGGGGTGAGGTAAAGAAAAACAGGACAGAGGTGAATCATCATGGAGGCCGTCTAAGCGCGCTCTCCACGGATGCGGCGGGCCAGCTGGATGTCTTTGGGCATGATGGTGACACGCTTGGCATGGATGGCACACAGGTTAGTGTCCTCAAACAGACCCACCAGGTACGCCTCGCTGGCCTCCTGCAGGAAGAGACAGCAGATATGAGCAAGAGGAGATCGTTGATGTTAGATTGATGCAGTTTTTTTTTTGATAGAATTGGTGCAGAAACAAACCTGCAGAGCTCCGATGGCGGCGCTCTGGAAACGCAGGTCGGTCTTGAAGTCCTGAGCGATCTCCCTCACCAGGCGCTGGAAGGGCAGCTTACGGATCAGCAGCTCAGTGGACTTCTGGTACCGACGGATCTCTCTCAGAGCCACGGTACCGGGCCTGAAACAAAAAAAATGTAGCTCAATACATGATTTAAAACTGAGTTTATTAAACCCTCCTCTACCTACACAGGACTCATCTCCCAAAGTAATAATGTGATTCATTCAAGAACAGTTCCTCCATGTTCAGTTCACTTCCTGGTTCTACTTATACAACAACTTCGGGGCAGTGGGCAGTCCTGCAGAATAGCATACTGATCTGTTGGGTATCATTTTGTTATGCTGCGCTTCAAACCAAGAGCAAAGATTTGAACTTTTTCTTTTAAAGTTTTAGGATCCTTTGTGTGGTTTGTTTTTTTAACGTTGGTCCCACACAACCATCAAATGTCCTGGTTCCTTACGTCATACAGATGCACACACAGCTCGGTTAATTAATTAATTAATTAATTAATTTCACCCCTTCTTCCAGGAGCTGAATCTGGATTAACTTTACTCTTGTTTCCAGATTCATAAAGATGAATGGTCAGGCTTGGCTCCGGGAGTTACCAGGATTTCAGGGATTATCAGGGATGGATATACCAACTACCTGGGATTCATTTCACTCACACATCTGCTACAGTCTGGATTACTACAGCAGTGTGGAGCAAAGACAAACAGATATTACTGTAATATTACCACTATGAACTGGATCTGAAGCTGCCAAAATAACTTAATAATGATGCAGATCTGATTAGATTATTAAAATCATGCTTAGTCCGTTCACAAGACAGGAAATTGTAAAAAAAAAAAAGTAAAAAAGGGAGTTTGTATATTTACATGAATGTATTTCGAAATATTCACAACACTTTTTCTCTTACTTTGGCCCGAGCAAACCTTAGGAATACAACAGAGTTTAAAAAGATGAAAAAGCAGACATGTTTAATGCTGCGAATGTCCAAGTGTGTGTGTCTTTGTAAAAAAACAGGACACTTTAGTGAATAAATGTATGAACCAACTATTCAACACAGTTTTCTAAACCAGCGAGGAGGATTTTCTCAATGATCATCTCAGTTTGATTAATTCAATTTCAACGAAATGACCGGCTGTTTAGAAGGCAAGTAAAGATGTTACCTGTAACGATGGGGCTTCTTCACACCACCAGTAGAGGGGGCACTCTTGCGAGCGGCCTTGGTGGCCAGCTGCTTACGAGGAGCCTTTCCTCCAGTGGACTTACGAGCAGTCTGCTTGGTACGAGCCATTACGACAAAGAATCACCTACAGGGAAAATCAACAGCGTTAGTTAGCGTTGTTAATGTAAACGTTCATTATACACACACTCTCTCCCTCTGGGCTTAAAGTTTTAATCTGGTATTTTCCAAAACGTGTCTTTAGTTTATTTTTCAAGATATTTGTTTCTCTGTGACTAATAGGTTCAAACAGTTTTAAAAATGTTCCATAAGGGACGCTGGTGGAGCAGTGGTTGGTGCGTGCGCCCCATGTATGGAGACTGTCGTCTCAAGCGGGCGGCCCGGATTCACATCCCACCTGTGGCCTCTTTCCCGCATGTCATTCCCCACTCTCTCTCTCTCTCTCCCTGATTTCTGACTCTATCCACTGTCCTATCTCTCCATTAAAGGCACAAAAAGCCCCAAAATAAATCTTTAAAAAAAAAAAAAAAAAATGTTCCATAAGATTTGTTTGGCTGACAATCGAGAAGCTGGGTTTAATCAAGGTATGTGCGATGAAGCATTCTTCTTTGGCCATTGACGGGCTTGGGTTATAGTTTTTACACCATAAAAGAAAAGATCTATAAAAAAGAAAGACCCCCTTAATGAAGAAGAAAAATCCTTTGAGGGGCCAACATACTACATGGACAAAAAATTCAAATTTTAAAAAGCAGAACATCGGATTTGCTGCTGCTACCTTGATCCTCGGTCAGCTCGTTTATACAGAAATAATGTGTTTGTAATTTATCTTCACTGGGTTCTGGTGGCTTCACAGAGACCACTGTAACAGCTGTTTCTGATTAAAAAATAATATCTTAATCAAAACAAAATTGTTGATATTTTTAGAATTTATTTCCTTAATGTTGTCAAATGTTTTTAATGAAAACACTGGTGTTCACTTATAAAAATGTGTCAAAGGCGATCTAAATAAATAATCCTTCAAAGCTAACAGTCTGTTTATATATGATAAATTATAAATATGTTTTTGTGATTGAACCTGAAAACATCAATATGAACATGTTCTGTTATATAACTAGAATTAAGTGTCAACATATTGTATACCTTCGGTTATTATTTGCTTATTATCATTCATATATGATGGTGTGACCAAAATTTTGACACATTTTATTTTAAGATTTCCTTTACGAAACACGAGACTTTCGTTTTCCCTCGGCTAGTTCAAAGTCTCCTGTTTGGTCATATTTGACCGCCTGGGAGAAGTTTCCCTTCGGTTTAGCTGCTACACAGACACACCGTGCCGAGCCAATCAGGACACTTTGTGCTCCCGATCCAACCAATCACAATACAAAAACGGTTATCGTCCTGAAATAGACCAATCAACTGTGCCTGTGCGGTGGGTTTAGGACCAACCGCGTTTAGTTCTGCAAGGTTTAGGGCGGGACAAGCAGCCGTGGCCCCGCCCCCTACCGCAAGATTATGGCCGCAGACCTAAATGAACCTACCAATATAGAGGCAATGAGCAGGACGTAAACTTTGACATTTATTTTACTAATCAAATGAAGTTTTCGCAGAAGACTATCAACAAAACATAGGAGAGAAGTGTAGCTATCGAATGAGCGTGTAGGCGTTTTTACAGATGGAGTTTAAAGGCGGTAACAGCGAGGTAGAAAGCGCTCATGAAAGTGGAGCAGATATTTGAGCAGAGGAAGTACTGAGCCGTTTTTCTCTCTGACCGGGCAGCTGCTTTTTCTCCTCTCCAACGCGTCGAAATAACACGATATTTCACCATCAAAACTACTTTAATCACCTCATTTTCAGCGTTAAACAGTTAATATTACTATTTGTATAAAAAAATACGAGAAGAACTTTGCTTACCGGGGGTGAATTTAACGCTTTTTCTTCGCACGGTGAAGTGTGTTGTGGTTGTCTGGCAGTGTCAGATATTTACTATCTCTCACACAATGGAAGCAGAAAGCTGGAGCAAAATGGCGGCCGTGTCAATCACCTGCCTCCCACAATGCAACTGACAACATTTGTAAACATTGTAACTTCCTCAACTTTTTTTTGTAACGAACACTATTGGGCTTAAATGCGATAATAACATAATGTTTTTATAAGTTATGTTAATATATTTTAACAAACAATAAATTAAGAAAAACAAATTTCAAAATAAGAAAGGAAGTAAAACATAATATTATTAAAGCTGATACTGGAAACGTAACCATAACCACTGGTAGAAGCAACATATGCAAATAAAGGCATTCATGCTTTTGGATGCAGTAATTAAAAAATAAAATAATTTTATTCTACTTTAAAAGGGCCACTACATTACCTATTGATTGGATATCTGTACTCTTGAATGACCTGGCTGTCAGAGGAAGAGGGTCAGAATATCAGCTTAATCGTTTTAAATAGCCTAACTTCTAACACTTTCAACAAACTTTAAATTAAGCGTTCAGGAGTTTTTGTAATCCCTCAAACTTCCCTTTACTCCTACATTTTGTTGACGGTTATTCTGGAGTAACTCTTCCTATTGTGTTCATCTGATCCAGCTCAAATTTAATTTACAGTAAGAAGAGATCTGATACATTAAAAGTTATGAAACTTGTGTACAAAACTAAAATGCATGGCTTCTGTGAGCCCTCAACTAAGCACGATTCCCCATGAAACATGGATAATTATCCATCATAGTTGTACATACTCCATTCTGACCAAAGTTTCCCATGTATGATAAGTGTCTTGGTACACATGTATAAACACATATTCCATTATACTTAAAGCGACCCTGAGGGAAAACTGGAAGTGTCATGTTGTTACTCAAACCAGTGCAGTTCCTGGGTGGTAAAACATATCTGCTTCAAATTTGCTCACAAGTGTTTAGCATACGCAGGGTAGAGAACAGACTGTCAACTTACATGTGGGTAAAGATATACATGAAGGGTTATGTTTTGTACCTCCTTTAAATTTTGGCTTGTACGGATGTCAAACTAAATGTTAAGCCTCAATAAGTGGATATTGTACATATAAGTTGTAAGTATAATTACAACTGGCAAAGTTGAAACCGGTCAGTTTTGTAGAAGATAAACAAAGGTGGACGAGTTATGCTATCAAGAGTCATGTTGGTCTTTGGTGCCTTTTGGATGCTGATTTAGACATTGAGCCAATTTGATAAAAGCAGAAAAAATCTGAAGCAGTAAAGGGCTGTTTAGGGAATAAATAAAGTCGAATGAGTTGGGTTCTGCTGTAAAATTAAGTTAGGCAGCTGCTAAGGGTCAGAGAGATGGGTATCATCGACATACAGGTGAAAACACAGGGTCTGACCTACCTGGATATGAGCTAGAGAAGAAGGGGAGAGGGAACACAAAATAGGAAAGCATACATCCCTAACAAGGCATTTTGTAATACTTGATTATATTAGCTTTACATCTCGACATCATTCAATAAAAGAAAGGATAGAAAATTTGGTTTACTGTGGCTTTTCTGTTTCTATCATTTCATTCAGACCTGACATACCAAGAAATAACACTTAAATGTGTTGAAGGTTTTAGGGGATTATAGATTTATAAAGATTTAACTTTTACTTCCAGTATAAACTCATTTAATCTGGATCGCATCCTCAAAATAGCATCCCCTGTCCGCTGTGGTGTCCCACAGGGTTTTGTGTTTGGTCCCCTTCTCTTACTCTGCCCAGGTGACGCTAGTTGATCTTTGTTCAATGATTTGGTTTTTTGTTTGTCATCAAACAATAAATCAAATAGATTAAGGTTTAAATGTGTTTCAGTGGTTAATTTTAGGTCAGTTTGAAGATTTTTGTTGTTTTTGACAGTGTAACATGTCTCTAAAATACGTGCCTAACTTAGCTTGTAATATTCCAAAACACTTTTCTTACCTTGCATCGTCACACACCTCATTATGGCAACATGTAGGTAGGTAAAGTTAAACAAAATATGAAGAACACTTGTGCTAGTGTGTGAGCACTAAAGACCAAGACGAAACATTTTTGGAAATTCATCATGTTGTGGGATTACAAAAATGTAACATTGACGCATGGTTCACGTTGAATGTAAACCTCTGGTTCATCTGTGAAAGTCCAAGGGTCAGTATATTCCTTAGAAGATGATCTGGGTAACATACATAATTAGTGCGTTCGTTGTTATTATGTATGAGTGATGACAGTGATGGGGAAGAAAATTATGTATTGTTATAAAGGTTAAAACTCCACAGAGTAGCCTAAAGTTAACACATTGAGCACCTGTCTTTGTTGTTAAGCAGAATATTGGCATTGTACCACTTTAAGGTGAAGAGAAGGCAGTAATGATATCGGATAAACTCCAACAGGTCTTTTATACTGATGACAAAATAATAACTAGTCACTTACTTGACGGCTTTTTGCGACAAAAAAGAGCTCTACTACTACTAGTTAGGTTTTGCTGAACTAGATTTTGTTGACAATGTTTCACCCTGTCAGACCGAGCAAACAAAAAGGTTTATCAGTAACATCATTCACACATATAAGACATGGATTTTAGCTGTTCCTGAACAGTTTTATTTATTTCATATCTAACTTTAGATACCTCTAGATTGAGACGAGAGTGTTTTCACATTCAAGTACACGGTGCCTTAAATTATCGCCCCGTCTGAAAAGGAAGAGGCTTTTCGATAAGGCAAGAGAAGTGAAACCTGCAAGCGATATAGAAGTCAACAGTTACAGAGTACAACCTGGATTAAGACAGATTTGAAACAGTGTAATCCATACATTATGCTGATCCAAAGGGGTTGTATAATACCGGATGGGCGTACTACACATTGATTTCTTAAAAAAAAAAATCCCTCCCTTATTGTTTCCAAAGAAAGCGAGTAGATAAAAAACAAATGACCCCATCATGACACCTTCAGCTGAGAACTGTCGACTCATCAGAAGTGATCTGAAATCTAGATATCACAATGTTTGTGCGTCATGACGATGACCGTAAAGTAAATCTGGCCTGTAGAAACAAAATGTAAGGCTTGTCCACCAAAGCAGGTTCAAAATGTTCTTCACCAGGTCGTTTGAGAGGAAAATGTTTTCATCTTTATTCAGTCAGTCCAGTTCATGAATGTACCGTCAATGTGATGGAAAATTTTAAATAAAAACAAAAACTCTTACACATCTAAAAAGGAACAACAGGCATTCATCCATCATCCCCTCTTTATCCCGTTATGTGCAACAACTGCGCCGAGTCATTTGGTCCCTAACATACAAGTACCAAAACATCCCATTAGAGTCACTGAAATGTGTTTATAGAAAAGTTACATAAAATGGCACAGTCACTGAAAAAAAGACAATGAAATAAAATAAAATAAAATGAGTCAACTATTTCATCCCAGCTCCTTACAAACCTCACACCCAGTCAGATTCTTACAGACAAACATGGACGCTCGTATCGCTTCTTGTGCACATTAAAGCAGAGAGAGGGCTCCATGACCTTCATGTACCACCTGTCTTTAACTTGTGCTGTAAAATCCAGAAAGAACACAATGGATGGTGAAGTACACAGAACTGTTCTGTAAGAGATAGAGAGTGCATGCATTTCTAAAATGCAAACATGAATCCCAGTTTATACCCAGCGCCACACCTAAAAAAAAAACAACAACTAAAAATCCCCCTTTTTTCTATTGATTCTGTTCATATATTTATATATTTAGTATATATATTTTACATTTCCTGTTAAATGTACCTTATGTCTTCATATCATATACATTAATGACTGGCTACTGTCTCAATCAATCACAACAATATGACTTTTTGGACAATAACTTCAGGTACATTCAGGGCTTTCTGTAAAAAGTCAGACATTTTTCTTTACAATTCATTAAAAATACAGAGGAGCAAAAATATTGGTGCTGCGACAGTCCGCTGTCCTGCAGAGGCTGCTCAGCAGCAGCTCATCAGAGTCTTTTTATACACAGCTAAACATCATTTCTCATGTTAAATGCTTCATTCAGTACGTATCTCTGTCTCTGGCCTGGGCAGGGCCAGGTCAGTCTGGATGTAGCCTCCCTGGCCTAGCGCGGTGGAGTACGCTCTGTTATTTTGGCTCACTGAGAACCCTGGGCCTGGATACGAGCCAGAGCCTCCCCGTTTGTGAAGCGGGGCCTGTGGCTGAGGTACTGGCCGATAATCGTCCAGGTTGTCATAGTGGGACTGAGCCGCTTTGCTGCTGTGTTTCTGATAGGAGTAGTCTCTGTCTGGCTCAGGTTTGCTGTAGTGCGGTGGCTCCCTGACGCTGTGGGATCGCTCGGGTTTGGAATGGGCATGTTGATCCCTGGGGTCAGACGGCTGCTCTTCTGTACTGTGGTATCCACTCTTCCCTTTGTGGTCAGAATCGGGACACTCGTACCGCGGTGTAAAGCTCCTCTTGCTGGGATACTCCTGCTGCCAGTGTTTGGACCTGCTTCCGTCTGTGCCCTGCTTGTCGTCTGCAGGCTTGGCATCGTGTCGACTGCTCTCCTGCTGGTGGGAGAGACTGTGGCTCAGAGAAGAAGGAAAGGAGTGGGAGGATTGACATTTCTTGGAAGTGCTTTGCTTGGCAAGTCCCTCCGACCTGTCTCCCTGGACATGCTTGTCAGTCTCCATGTACAGGACGACATCAGGGTCTGATGTCATATGTCTGGGGAGGTAGCGTCCATCTTTGCTCTCAGCTGCAGCCAGCACAGCTTTACCTGGGTCGGACTTACTGCGCAGGTGCAGCATTTCATAGCCCGATATATCTGCAGGGGCAAACAGGCCCACGTTGTCATACTGAGAGAGGACAGGGCCTTTGACCTTCTGTCGGGCCCGGCTCTCTCTGCGGATGGACTGAAAGCGAAGCCTCTCTGACTCCTCGGGATCCCAAGAGAGGTAAGCTGGAGCCTCCATGCTTGCATGTCCAGGTGGCATGTCCCTGCTTACAAAGCTGTGCTCCTTCCCCGGCGGGAGAACATGGCGAGCGAGATAGTGGTACCCGGTCGCCTTTCCACCTGGTCGACCTGCAGCGGCTCCTGGATCTCTGGAGTGGAAGTGGCGGACTCGGATGGTGCCATAGGGGTCGATGTCGTAGTAAGGTGCCTCCACGGGGCCTGAACCAGAGTAGGGACTGTAGCGGTACTGAACTCGTCCGTTCTCAAAGTAAGGCTGCAGCTGGGTGACGTGGTAGTCGCCCTGTGAGGACTGCTGCTGCTGCTGCTGCTGCTGTGGGGGCTGCTGCTGCTGCGGAGGCTGCTGGTAGGCTTTGCAGGGGTAGACGGGTCTGTGATAGAAGAAGATTTCATCATCTGGCGGGACTTCAGTCCTCTGGATGGGCACAGTACGGATCGTGGAGGGGACATGAAGCGAGTGCACCCTGCGGATGGTTGGGTAGCCGTGTGTTCTGTCGTGGCTGTAACCCTGATGCCCCGGCCCTGGAGAAACGTACACACCGCGGGAGTTTCCTCTGGACTTAATCGAGTGATGGTAAGACCGCGGGCCTAAAGTGCTGTACCTGTTGTCCACTCGGGCACTGTAAGGGATCTGAGGCTCAGATTTGGACACGAAGGAGAGGTGTGGGGGGACACTGTCGGGCCTGTAGTGGTGTGGCATGGTCTGGGGGCCGAGAGGAACTGGCCTCTGGTGGTAGTAGGCGGCTCCTGGAGGCTCCATTAAGACCGGTTCTGCTTTAGCGTGGTAAAGGTAGGCCGGTTGGTGTGTGGAAGATTTGCGAGGAGATGGAGGGTGATGAGGCAGAGCTTCCTCCAGATGACCAGGAGTAGGACCCTCAGCGAGGACGTGGTAGGAAGCTTCACTTTGGCTGAGTGCTGCTGTGGCCAGTTTGCTCTCGATAGTGCGGACAGGGGGGGCTGGAGGTCCGTACACTTCGTGGTACTTAACTGGCTCTGTGCAGGGCTGAACCGGCTTTATGGCCTCCCAGGGCTTCTCCACAGGCTCAGCAGAGGTGGGGGCCACTCTGGCGCTGGCCTTCGAGGGGGGCTGAGTGTGGGTTTGGGGGAGGGCTGGTGTCTGAGGCTGTGTGTTAGGCTGTGATGGAGGATGAGGCTGAGAATTAGACTGTGTTTGAAGATGAGCCTGAATCTGAGCCTGGCTCTGCTGCTGAGTCTGAGTTTGATGCTGGGACAGCGCCTGCCTTTTGGGCTTTATGGGAGGAGGCTGATCTGATGGTTTTGGGAGGATTGGACGAGGTGAAGTCTCACCTGGTTTGACCTGTGACAAAACACAACAAAACTTTATTTGCAGAGGAAGGTCAATGACATGTCAAGTTAAGCATTACTACATGGGGGAATAGTTCACAATAAACACACACTCATTTCAGCTAGGGACTGTCCACACACACACAGGACACTGGGCAGTTTCTAAGTGGCTGCAGCAGCATGGCATACATTCATCATTTCTGTTTTTGCATTTCTTCCATCTTTTTCCTACTGGTAGAGGAGACACATTGTGGAGAAGAACTTGTCAAGCTCAGGGGACCTTACACTTCCATTAAGCACCCATCACATTGCTATTTGCACATATTTAGATGCTCTCTTTAAATTTGGAAGTAAAGGATGAACTTGGGAACCCGTCGGTTCAAGTCCCAGTGTGGACCAAATAAATATGGAAGTTGGTCTGGTAGCTGGAGAGGAGCCAGGGCACTTCCCGAGCACTGCTGAGGTGCCCAGCTCCCAACAGCTCTGGCGCGCTACCTGTATAGCAGTGTGTAGCATGTCCACAGCGCATGTTTGTGCATTTGTTTACTTCGGGCCTTTGTGTGTGAGAAGCATGTCTCTCAATAACAGAGTGTAACCTGAATTTCCCCTCAGGGACTAATAAAGTAAATAAAATAAAAAAAATAATTAAATACAAATTTTAATTCAGGTACAACAATAAAAAAAGGTGCAAGTGGGACTTATCAAAACATGTAAATGGCTAGAAAAGGAGATATTAGCTTAGCATAAAGACTGGAAACGATGAAAACAGCTTGTCTGGCACTCTCTGAAATAATAATTGTACATAAGCCAATCAAAAACTGAAGTGTTTAAAAACGCTGAGTGACTTTATGGTGTTTCCCTTCTTTCCATCCTTGTCCTAAACAAAGCTGAGTCTGATAGAGTGTAGTATCAATTTCTTCATCTCTTATGTTATGCTGCATAGAACTTTTTGATTGATTGATTATTTTCTTAATGATTTCTGCAGCACATTGTCTCCATGCAATGACTGTGAATCATTTGTAAGTAACACATAAAAGGACAGTCAGTTACCTCAGGGACAGGCTGGGGTAAGACTCTGGTGTCTTTGCGGCTGCCACTCGGCGTGGTTGCTGGAGTGTTGCTGGAGGAGTTGGTGTGTACTGGGACGTGGACTGGGACGTGGACTGGGACGTGGACTGGGACGTGGACTGGGACGTGGACTGGGACGTGGACTGGGACGTGCACTGGGACGTGGACTGGGACGTGGACTGGGACGTGCACTGGGACGTGCACTGGGATGTGGACTGGGACGTGTGCTGGGACTGACTGCTGCCTCTCTGGACTCTTCCTTGTTGGAGAAGATAGACTGGTTGAACTAGGGAGAGGGACACACTTGTAGAGAGTAGTGTCAGTTGAGCTGGAGTCTGTGTCTGGGTGAGGGCCAAGTGGAGTTGTGGAGGACTTGGCACTGTCTGGTAGTTTGGTTATTGTGCTGGTTAACTCGAGAGGCTGCAGCTTGATTGCAGGACTGGAAGCGGAGGGATATGATGAGGTTGTGGTGACAGTCGGAGCAGTGCTATTTGGAGGCAGAGAACTTTCCCTCTCTGCTCCGTCCTCTGAGGAAGTCTGGAAATGTTGGACCTTTGGATGTGCCACCCCCAGGAGGTCAGACTCCTCATGTGTCTGCAGAGGAGACACTGGTGTGGGGGGCTCAGAGGACCTGAACTGAGACTGAACGGAGACCTGCTGGGCAGACTCGGCGAGGGCCAGGGCCAACATGCGGGCAGCGTTTTTAGGCGGGGGAGGAGGAGGGGCAGCAGAGGGAGCTGTAGAGCTGAGGAAACGAGGGGTGAGGTCCTTTGAAGAGTCCGGAGCTACGACTCCTAACAGGGACACAAAAACACAAGGGAGCTACAGTTGAAGAATGATTTAGTTGGAGAGCAGCAGGTGAAGAAGAGAAATGACAGCAGGCAGGATAGTGCTATGGTGCTTTAAGATTAGGAAAGAGGGAGGGAAGTTAAAGGGGAATTCCAGTACTTTTAAACCTTTACCCAATTTTTTTCACTCCAATGTGTAAGATGACAAAAAAGTTTTTTTAAATACTAAAGTAGACTTCTTCAGCCTGCAGTCCTGTGATTGGTTGGAATGGCTGCAGCCAAACCTTTCAGAACAAAATACATGTTCTGTTCTTTTCTTTGCCACTAACAGACTCAGATTGTTTATCATAAGGCGCCCTATTCAGATGCCTTCAGGGGGGTAAAGCGCAATATTTACCCCCCTGTGAAGTCTCTCATTCAATATGAATGTCACAGAGGCAGAATGGGGGACAAAGTGATCCCACCCCTGTACTGCCTACAGAGGTAGTAACAGAGGTGTTACAGAGGCGGGGGACAATAGCATTGTGTGTGCGCATGTCCAAATGTATGTGTATGTGAATGTGTATGCTCTTTCTTAAGAAAGATCCGGACAAAGACACCCAATTTTGATGAGATGAGAACCTCTAACCAGAAATAGTCGAGACATAGCTCACTTTAAAGCTACCAAAGTAACTTGACAAAAACAGAAACTTAACTTGCAGAACACAGAATGTGGTGGTTTACTGCAACCACCATCGACAAGTTTTAGTACTGAAGTGTGTGTGACCTTAGTTTTCCAAATGTCAGCTCAGGACAAACAGCCCAAAATAGGCAGCGTTAAACCAACAACTCCTGTGCTGTGAGATATAAAATCAGTTTTTGTCAATGAAGTTTGGTGACAGTAATGACAGTGACATTACAGCATTTTCGTGGTCTCTGGTAAACAAAAAATGAGTTTAACTCACTAAATAAAGTCACTTTTCTGTACACTTAAAAAATGGAGTGAAAAGATAATTTTCCTCTAAGAAAATGTTGCAGCAATATCAACCAGTTTAGGTTTGGTATTGCTGGCTGAATCTACTGGAAGTACTCCAAAACTTTCTTTTTTATTAGTCATTTAAGACAACAAAATATGTAAATATATGATCAAGGTTTAAAAATACAGAAATTCTACTTAGAGTGAGGTGCTATAGCATCATTTGGTAAGAGTTTAAGTCCATGCCGATCTGGGAAACATCACATTTATATAATTTAGATGATTTAGATAATTCGATAGTCTAAACCAACAAAACTTGCCAAAAACAACTTTTAATAAATCTTTTTCTGCTTTCTACCTTGTTGCTCCTGGCTGCTGGCAGCTGGCTCCTGCTGCACGCTGTCGTCTCCCTTCAACTCTTGACTGTCCACACTGTCAAAGGTTGCCAGCTTAGAGTGCAGCTCCATTTGGAAAGCCTCACTTAGCGAAGGCTCGGCTGCCCTCAGCAGTACGCTGCCCATCAGTGGAGGAGAGTCCTTGGCTGCTGCAGGAGGAGATAACGGTTGAGAAGAGACAGGGTGTGCAGCTGTGTTCCTGTCGTCAGGCTTCTCTACACTGAAAAGCTCTGAAGTGGCTAACGGTGTCAGACTGGTGGTCTTTGCACATTTGATGGGTGACACAGCCTGTGTAGGTTTATCAGTGTAAGAATAAGAAGTGGTCAGTTTCTTGCTCTCTATCTTCTCTCTGTAGCAGAAGTCTCCGGACAGTAAAGGCGAGGTCAGACTGCCGAGGAAGCTGGCAGACATGAGGTCAGAGCCATTGCTCTTACTGCCTGGACTCCTCTTTAACGTGGAGCCCTCGGCCCCGGCCGGAGAGTCGTCTAGAGGGAAGGCGTACGACGTGTCGGGGAGGCTGCACTGGAAAGACATGGGGTCAAAGTCCAGGGAGGCCATGCCGATGTCAGGCGGGCTGAGGTCCACATCTTCACCCGCTGAGCGCGGAGGTGAGATGAGGGCAGGCACACAGATGGGCCCGTCGTCTCCGTCGCTGTCCTCTGTGCCGTCCAGATTGTCGTAGGAGTTGCAGTGCTGTCGGCTGTCCAGCAGGTCGCCGTTAAAGGAGGCCGAGAGGGCGTCGCTGCTAGAGCGCGGCCGCCGAGGACGGTACACCTTAGACTCTCCTATTGAAGGAAAACAATATAATCACTGAGTGATAAAACTACTACAAGCAAGAGCAAAAAATAACTTTTGAACTTCTTATTTATTGTTTTCACCATGCTAACTATCACCTTGACAATTTATTCATTTCTAACAACAGAATTAAAAATCTAAAATCTTAGTTTTAGTATTTCTTGTTAGAAGTATTTGGTACTTTTAATGACTTAAACAATCCTTACTTTACTCTTCAAACACAGTTTATTATCATTATACCGCTGACAGCATATCCTGATGAATATATAAGATGATTAATGAAGCAAAAGAGGATTTATACTCTGTAGAAAGAGCATTTTAAATATGTCCTGTGTTGCACTAGTTCTGCTGAGTCAAGGTGAGCTGGATGTCTCGAATGATTACCTTCAACATTGTGCAGTGAACTCAGAGACTCTTCACTTTTAGCTGATCTTAATGTTGCTGTGTCTCCTCTTCCTCCTGAAACACAACATGTAAGAGGCTTTATTGTTCAAACTCTTAAAGTGAAATATGCTCTTTTTGAATTTTAAGATAATAAAAAGTTTCAGTCCAGTGATGGAGAAATGACTCACCAGCCAGAGCCATGGCCTTCAGCTCGTTTGGCTCGCTGGGGTTCCTGGTCAGCTTACGTTTGGACATGGAGGAAGATTTTCCCAGATTGAAGAAAGATCGCCAACTCCCCACAGGGGACTTCTTGGATTTAATAGGAGGTCTCTTCCTGTGATTAGAAATAGTACAGACAGAGACTTAGACACAGACATTAAGACAGTATATTGTACAACTGTATGAGACTTTAAACTCATACACAGTTCTCCAAACCAACATTTAAAAACTACATTTTTTTAATATTATGTGTGTGTGTGTGTGTGTGTGTGTGTGTGTGTGTGTGTGTGTGTGTGTGTGTGTGTGTGTGTGTGGTGACAGGAAGCAGCTTGATCTGATAAAGGAAACATTTCTTCTTTCTGAAACCTTGAATTTGACAGTAAGACCAGAAAGACCTAGCAGATAGTAAGAGCAGAACACCTTTAAAAATAAAAAAAATGCCTCAGTTTTGAATTAGTCTTTGCATGCAGTCTTACCAGCAACCAGCAGAGAGAGACACATTCCAGCATAATAAAATGCATGTTTCTTTTTAGTTCTGCTCTGCACCATAACATCAACAATGATTTCCATTTGTGCCTCTAAAAGAGAAACAAGAGCTAACAAACCTCTCAGTGGGAAACTCGATGACGGTGTGGAACTTGCCCTGCAGGGCTGCCGGACCCTCTCCAACCTCAATGTACTTGCTGTCCTCAGTGACTGGAGAGTTGATCTGAGCCTGGGTCCGGGCCTGGGCCTCCTCCAGACTCAGGAGTTTGGTGGACGGAGATGAAACCAGTAGGGATTTGGGCCGCGACAGCGAGTTGTGACCTGGTGATGTGAAATAGTGTTTAGAAGCAGCAGCAGGTAAAATGACAGTTTGAGCAGAGGGTGTTATCTGACGTATACACACCTGCTCCCTCTCGGATCAGAGAGCTCAGTTTAGAGCTGAAGAGAACGTCCACATGGTTCAGGATAAACTCCACCACCACAGACTGGATCCTGACCTCCATGAAGGCTGCTGTGCCGCTGAAGCATGCGGATTCAATCTGTTTGGACCTGACATCATAATGAACAAATGTAAAGTGAGGAGGGAAGAAGGACATTTTATTAAGTAAAGCAGCTGCACTTCCTGCTCCATCACACTACACATAGCACTTTAAACCTCTTCAATATTCATCATTCAGATTAAGTGCCCTGCTTTCATGTAGCTTTTTTAAAGCTCTTTTTGTTAAGAGTATTAAGCCTGTTTAGTGATTTTAAATTTGTCACCGTTTGTTTTAAAAAGGTTCACATATGCACACACAATTTAAAGACTCATTTCTGCCTTTTACATGTTAAAGCAGACAGTCATGTTTTTTTTCTATTCCTATATAAAACCAGCCTCCTGCAGCCACTGGAGACTGTTTTGTGCATATTAACAGTTTTGATTTTGACAGATCCAAAATAATAAAATGTTATTAAGTAGAGCCGTCATTCTTTTGGCAACAGAAAGCAAAAGCTTCCTTAACTCAGGTCAACACATTGTTCTGTGATTACATCATGTGATCCGCCCTTTATACTGTGTTCACAACACATGGGCAGCTGCATTCTGCCATTTGGAGATCAATGTTTGAACAGCAATATATATTTTAAAAAAACAACTAGCCTGGAGACTAACACACAAATCGTACATGTCGAGCATTAGAAAATAGTCTTAAAAAAGACATCAGAATGATCAAAAAAGCCTTCAGTATGTAGACACTATGTTGTTATTGCACACTGTCATTATAGAAATGAGAATGTCTTAAAATGTAAAAATATAAATATTTAAAAGAACTTGCTGAGTGTTGATTACTAGTTGTTCATGTTTCTGAATTTAAAAGTTCTGGAGAATTATGTTTACTAAACTCAGGGAAAAGCCTGGAAGGCAATTAAAGAAAAACATACCATTTGTTTGTGCTGATGTTAAAATAACGGGTCGAGACTATTCATACAAAGTTCTATGATGTCAATTCTTTAATTTGATTGGTTATGAATGTTTATAGAATTAGATCAAAGTTTAAACTTGAAGCTTAGGTTTGACAGATTTTAGAGATAAGAAGAATTAGACCCGCTCTCTGTCAGACTTCTGAGGTTAAAATAAGTGTTTATCTTCAAGGTAGTGAATTAAAATATTCTCTGACGACTCCCCCCTGATGTTTTTAAGCGTTTTTGATCTAAGAAACATAATTTGTGTAAAATGATTGAGTCGAACTTCCAGCACTGGTGCTGTGTTAAAGAGTGTCCTCCCACAAGCAGCTGTTTAAATCATCAATCAGGCAGAGTGACTCATTTAAAGCAGCAGACCGTCTACCTCCTGCTGTACAGAATCCATTATCATGTCTGAAACTTGTTATGGTGCATAATAAAAACCCAAGAGGATGACTACTTATACATCAAACTGTGACGATCATGAGTTTCAAAATGGCTACACAAATAAGCTCTGGAAAATATCCACCAGAAAAATCTTTTACTGCATCCTCTTCAGCTGCATCCCCAAAAAGGAGGGACACTGTTTTATCTTTCCCCTGATCAACTTTAAACCTGAACGTCAAATTATTTACCAGGAAGGTTTTGTCTTTTTTCTTTTTTGAGACTGCACAGGAAGCCAAACAAACCAGAGTGTCTGGATATTACTTCTTGAGTTCATCTTGAGTTTAAGACTGACTACAGGAAAAGGCAACACCACAGGAGCATCAACCAGATACACTATTTCCTAATATGAAGGACACACCGTCGGTTGGAATACGAGGACAAAGATCTTCAGCAACTCCAGCTGTTTGGAGGTTGAGGCTATGAACTGGGAAGGACAGATAACGTCAAACAATCCCTTCAGCGAGGGCATAAGATCCCACAGAAGACTCATCAGTGAACTGCAGAGTCCTAGAGAATCAGAGACTGAAGAGCTCCAGACTCTCACCAGATCTTGATAGGTGGCATGCTTGCAGTATCAGAACCAAGAGCATTAACCCATAAGAAAAGAGAACATGGCTGTCCCTGCAGTGTAGCAGGTTAATAATGCCTCACATCAGCACATTTCAGAGTGTGATCCTGCAACAGCGCCATACCAAAGCTCAGTCATCATCACATCTTTGTATATTCACATTGATTCTTGCAAACATAATATTGGTGTCCCAGTGTGAGAATTAACCGTGGGTTGGGTCACTTCATCCCCCCATAATGACTCTGTGACATTCAAATAGAGGGGCGTAAATATCAAACCTTGGACGAGCAGTCTAAACATTTCTTTTGACATTTCAAGTTTTCGGGGACATTTACAGTTTTTTTTTTTTATGACAATTAAAATATCGCCCTGTCAAATATAATTTAAAAAATGGTTAATCCCTGAGATGAGCAAGGAAACTTGATTGTTGAAGCTTTTAAGTGATGATTTATAGTCTAAAGCATACAAAGAACCCTGTATGGACCAGGTGTCTCACCTGAGCAGGTTGGGGGCCCAGACGATGGCCAGGTTCTTGCTGTGCATGTTGGTGATGTAGCTGAATGCTGCCAGGTGGGAGAGATGCCTCATGAGGAACTCCAGGGTCCTACAATCACATATTCATTTATTCAGGTTTAATTGGCTCCCACTAGTGATGAGCAAACTAATGACCATGATAGAGCTCCTTCTTCAGAGCATCAATATTTCACTACGCGCTCAAATCCCAGAGGAGTGTCACTGAGAAATTAACATTTGTACGCTTTCACAAAAGACGGGAAACTCAATTCATCATCACAAAAGGAAGAGGTCCGCTGGGACCAGTTAAATGATTCCATTCAATACAGCGTGGCACTGCACAAACACATGATTTTAACATTAACTGACAAACACAACATGATCTGTAATGTGGCGGTGCCTGAGGCTGCCACAGGGGGGCAGTGTGCCTCCACACTGACCTGTAATGCGGCGGAGGAAGCTGCTGGATGACATCATGGATTTTGATGAGTCGTTCCTCGTCTGTGGCTGCTGATACAGCCTCCTTCACAGCCAAAAGATAGAGATAGAGAAAAACAAGATGTGTCAGTGCATCAAGCATTTAGCTCGTTGACTTATCGTCCTCGTTCGTGCGGTTACACGGAGCATGGAGGGGACATCTGTCTGCAGCCACAACCCTCTAACCCCTCTTCCTCAGCTGCCATAACAACCAGCAAACATTTACTTCATCTTCAGGGACGCTCTGTGGTGCTGGGAGAAGGTTTTTTATTCCAAGTCACACACACAAAGTGGTTTGGTGTATTTGTAATGATAGGGTGTGTCAGTACAATGCTGCCATGTGACTCAGAAGATAAATGTGAAGAATTCCTTCATGATAAATCTGAGGAATTTACTTTCTTTTCTGCAGAGACTCAATTTAGACATGTTGGATTAAGTATCACCTTTGGCATTTCTGAACACAGAAACTTGAACCCCTGGTTTTCAGTTTGTGGGTCAGGACCCGAAAGTGGGTCGTGTGGATGCTTTCAGCGGGTCAATGTAATGATGTGCATTGCAGAAAAACGTCTATGCTGCGTTTTATTACAAGGATGTCTTTACTATGGGAAGTCTATTCACACTCCGACACAGAAGGTGGACACTGGCTGCCAACCGCTATAATATGCAAAGTTTGTTTTTTAATGTAAACTCCAACATACCACGGCAGATTCAAGGACGCAGAGGGAGTTTGTGTGGAAAAATCTAACTTGCTACTTCATCTAAAATAAAGAGTTAAAAAACTGGTTCACAACAATCATGTTGGCAGATATGAGGGAATAGAGATCTTCAGGGTTTTCAAAAAAACAACACTCATTCTGGAAAATGTAAATAATATAATAAAATATCCTGGGATATGCAATACCTGTGGGATTTAAAATATTGCACCTTGGAAATATAAGTGATTGTGTGTTTAATAATGATAGACATTGAATGATAGATAATGAAGGCCATAACAAGAAGCTGGTGCACGTCTGATCCCCTGATGTAAAACAGTGGTTTTAAATTATAAGAGAGATTTGTACTTTGGAAAGAAATGACCTTTCATCCAAGACTGAGAGAAAATGTCTTTCAATAGCAAATGAAAGAAATGGATGATTTATGACACAGTGATAAATGCTTATGGACTAACACAAATTTCAAGATACTGGATCTGTATACTCCCTTCTTTAATAACGGACTCCTCTAACCATGGCTGTTTTATTCCTGATTTTTGTTTCTTTTTACCCATCTTACTAGTTGCAGAAAGTCATATTCTAACGTGCATAAAAAAGTTTTGTTTGCACAAACAAAAATCAATAAAACTTAAAGTTAAAGAGAAGATGTTTTTATGAAGTCAGTTTATCAAGGAAAGACAGATATGACACTGAATACATAAAGTGTGGGTCTTCTTAGCATGACAAGTGTTTTGTGCTGTGAAGTGCACATGACAGCATGAAGCCTGAAACAGCATTTTGAAACCAAACTCTCTGTTTAAAGACAAATAAGTTGACTCCTTTCAGAGATGACCGTTTTACTGCTGTGATTTGTGATGCAGAATCTGCAAAAACTCAAGTGGGATCAGACATGCACATGTTTCATGTTACTGCCTTCATTATCTACTGTTAAAAACTCAAATCTTACAATTTGTGATATTTCTTGTCACAAATATCTCATCACGCCACATTTCACTCTAAAAGTCCAGATGAAAATCTTATTTCAAGATATTCTGAGCAAAAGTCAAAACCTGAATTGCTTGTAACGAGTTAAAATATCTGCCAATGCAGGAAGCAGTTTACATTTTTAAATTTCTTTAAACTAGATCTTTCTCTTATTTCAAGTAAGTGAAGTAAAAGGAGATTTTTTTTTACAAGACTATTAAAAAAAATCGACTTGCTAACATTTCGGTTCTGTTTCCAAACTGAACATTTCTTTTGAAATAAAACGAGAGGTTGATAGTTTTTTGGAGGTTTGGGTGGTGATTTGTCAATAAGGAGGTGTTGGGGGGTCCTGAGCTTAGACCAGCTGAGAACAACAGCTCCAAACAAGCTCTAAAGTCAGGTGTTGTTAAAGTCAGCAGACTTGTTTCCACACATTAGTGCAAGAAGAGTGTGTGTGAGAAGTGTTTAAACCTGCTCCGTCTTTACTCACAGAGAATTTCTCGTAGAGCTGGTAGGTGAGCAGGGGGTTGGGCAGCTCTCTGAAGTAGAGCTTACACAGCGATCCGACGCAGTGGATGTCCTGGATGTAAACATCTTTGGTCAGGTCAGGGATCTGCTCCGAGTCAAACTCGTGTCTGGTGAAAGAGAGAGAGAGAGAGGACAGAGTCATAACCCTCAGTTCTTCTGAGGAAAAACACAGCAGTGAAAGACAAAATGCTTTTGGTGAAATCTCAGGAGAGGAATTTATTGATTTGTGCCTGAAGAAACTTCTAACCTCCTAATGTCGGTTAAAAGTAGGGTCATCATAATACCCGATTTTTAAACTTCCATATAACACTACAACATACCTGTTTCCATACCACAGCAACAAAACAGTCCTAGACCCCCAAAGTTGGGTCATTTCTTGTTTTTAAATGACTAATCATTTTAGAGCAAACTCCTGTACACTGTCTACATTGAACAAATACATCGGCACTGTTGCAACACTGTGCAATTTACACAGCGCTTTGTCTCTTTCTATTTGGTTAGAGATATGACTGAACCTATAAAAAATGGTTTTAAGGCTTCAGTACAGTACTTTGAAATATTATCGAAGATTACAATTATTTAAAAAACAACAGGTGGTACTTTAAACTTTAGTTAAAAGTAAAAGACAAATCAAGTCACAGGCTTCACATCAAGTGTTACAGCTTCCATTAAATACTATTAACATGAAGTTTTGACTCAACATGAAAACAACCCATCAGAGTAAAACAAACTTACTTTCTTTTAACTTGAAAGGAAAATAAATCAGGCTTACATTATTTCATGTTATAAGATTGAAAACTTAAGTTTTATTAAACTGACCCTGTGATTAGACTGTGTCTACTTCTCTCACCACAACAATATATTCACTTTATAAAAACATAAATAGCATATTATTTATTAGACATCTATAAGGGGATGACTGAAATCAAGTAGAAGTTTTGAAAATATTTCCATGTCTCTGGAGCAGTCTTTTAAAGTTTTCTGTCTGAGTGAAGTTTTTTCTTCTCAAATAAAATAATTCAGATACAGGAAATATCACTTTCACATCACAGGTAAACAAAGCGTCACCATCATCATTGATAGGCGGCTGCTGAATGTCTGTGCGTTTGATGGTTTTGCAGTTGCACCGTTGGCAAGAGTCAGTTTACCGTTTCATGTTGTTCTTTTACAGAGAGAGAAATAACTCTGATTGGCTTTTTGGGACAACTGATTGATTAACTACAAGTAAACAGAGAGAAAGTCTTTTTTTCCCACATTTCTCAAATGAGCATCTTTACGAGGAAACCATCTGGGTGGTAGAGAAGGTTGTCAGATGATGTTTGAAACACGCTGCTCTTTCATAAAAACAGTGTCCGCAGTTCAGCTTCTCTGGGATTAAACTTTATGACTGAAGTGAACAGACTGCCTACACCAGGAGCAGAACATACAGTATGTGCTAGCTGGCTGTCAGTTTCCACTTTGAGGTTACATGAAGTGCAACTTCTAATCCCTCGTGAGGTTTTACACAGTTTATATCACTAAAGTATTATATCAATAAAGAAAATACCCTTACATTTCCACATGTCAACAGCTTTTTTACGAGATCCCAAATCGTTGCGAGTTCACTCCACATCATTTTTATTTTTTTATCTTATACAGACACATTAATCCTGGAAGGAATTCAGGTGTTCTCAGCCTTTCTATGAGATGAGGGTTATTATGGGATTAGGATTGTGAGCTCTTCATATGACAAAGGAAACTTCTGTAGAAGCAGCAGGCACAGGGTGGATATCCCGATAAACACTTTTTTTCTAGGTGCAAAACAAACAGGACATATATGTGTGTGTGTGTGTGTGTGTGTGTGTGTGTGTGTGTGTGTGTGTGTGTGTGTGTGTCTCATACCGTAACTTTTGGATATTTGAGGCGATTCCAGAGAGGCGGTATATGCCGTCCACCACACCGTGCTTCTCGATGAACTCGGTGCAGCTCTTGAGGACCTGGGGCACTGCAAAGAAGAAAAAAAATGGTGTCAGGCATCAGTCATGAATTTTTCAGTCTGCAAAAAAAGTCAAGAACAATATGAATAAATTCACAAGATTTCAGAGGGAAAGCACTTTCTGAGTGAGTGTGAGCCATCTGAATCTTGAGAAACAAAAATATCTATAGATAACTATTCAAAAATATTTCTCTCTTGATTTGTGGTGCTTTAGGTTGGATTTGAACACATTTCATATTTATTTAGAGTTTTCTGGATGAATCAAACAGGCAGTCAATCACAGTCACTCAGCTTGTGTGAATAAGAAAACACAGAGCTTCTTCATTCTTCTTCTGCAAACGTGAATCACACACTCATGACATGTTATTTATGTGTGTGTGAGTGTGAGATAAGGATTGTGTGTGTGTGTATAAGGAGGCTCCCAGGCCTCCCACAGCTCACACATCACTTAGAGGATGACACAGAGAGGGACACTGGCTTAAAGCAGCTGTTTAGACAAATTCCACACATATTTCCAGAGAAAACAAGCAGAGATGTGAGTAAACTAGTCTGCAGCAGAAGAGAGGACGGAGAGGGAGGATACATCCCTTATCTAGGAAGGTTTTATTCCTCTTATCGCAAGGAGATGTGTGTTTGAATGTGGACTCAACGGTGAACACACAACATGAAGTCATCGTCTTAAATTCTTATTAAACGACATTAAAAGCAAAGTGTTCAGGTGATTTTAAAGATGAAGTGGATCCTTCATCCTGAGTATAGAGTATAGATGAATCGTCAGCTGATTAATGTACTGCACTCTCAAACAGCGGCTGAGTGGAAGTGAAAACATTTACACCAGCATGAGGCAGAAATGTTTGGTCTAACTATCATATCCTTCCTCCTCGACCTCCACAGTTTGGATGTTTAAGTGTAGAGAAGCTGCAGTAAATAAACCCAGCAGGGACAACTTGCAAACTTCTGGTATATTTCATCACTGTAGTATTTTTTTGATTCAAATGAGAAGAAAAAGGATACTTTATAAAATCTGACTCACATCATTCTGGTAAAGCAGAATCTCGATCTGGAAAAGTAGTGCAAAGCTAATAAGATATATGAATGTTGTAAGTGGGCAGGTCTCTAATTGGTCATTAGGTGAACCACTCACAATGTGATTAAAAGTGAATGTAAAGACGTTTCTATGGAACAGATTATTTGGCTTTAACTTGTCCTTAGGGAAACGTTACTTATATGGGAGAGGTTTGGATGATGCACAGATTTAGTTTTGACTGCAAACTTAGCCGTCACTTGGTCCACACAGACAGAAAACACACACACACTCACACTAAATAATTTCCATCTCTTTCGCCATTCAGAGTATTATTTCAGAGTTTTCCATAAGCGCCAGCTGTTAAAACATTTCCAGCTGTTTACTCTTAGAGTTACTAGTGCAGATCACCTATTTGTTCGAGTCTGTATTTAAAGTATCTGAGATATGTAACAGGATGAGCTAATGTTAGCAGCAGCTGCAGGATCTCCTGACATATCTGAAAAGCATCAGAGACAAAGTAATCTATACAAACTGTTTAATTCAAACCTGATTTATTTCAAGAAGCAGGAGACTTCTGTGGACAATAGAGCTCCCAGTTAAAACCTTAAACCAGTATCATGACGCCCTGCATTGTGGTGATCAGTTTTAGTTTAACAAGTTAAATATCACCAGAGTAAAAGCAGCTTCAACCTTCAACCTCTGCGTCTATAAAGCAGCAGAGTTAAAGATACGATTTATAGTAATTTATTGTTTCTCTCACCCCATAGAAAATCTTTCATTTTTTTACAATCCACTGAAGCAGTTAAAACCTCGATCTTTTGACCCAAACGAGATGGAGCAGCTTATCTCTCAAGGTGAGAGAGAATTTACAGGTCAGGGTCAGACTCTTTCACCCATGAATGTGTCACTAATCTGCACACTGACAGCCTTTAATGGACGTGAAAATGTGCTGAAGAGATACGAGGAACATGTTCCATTAACATGAAATTAAGTTATTGATCAGGCTTCAGCAGCATCATTAGACCGGTGTGAGCGGATGATACATAATAATCATGAAACCATCGTCTTCATTCTCTGTCACTGAGAACTAAGGCTGAGTGATGTATAGCTGTGACACTGTGCGTATGTGTGATAATCACATCTCAGGACGTGCAATGTCAGTCCAGTGACCTGAGGCACATCATGCTGCCACTGTTTCAGGACATTCAGGTCCTGCAAATAATCCAGAATTCACAGGAAAAGTTTGCTCAAAGTTCAGATGAATGGTTTCTCTCCTCAGGACAATATGAGAGGGGTTTATGAATGTCTCCACTGTATGGCGTAAAAGATAAAGTTCTCATGTCTCTACCACAAGGCTCTGGACATTATTTAAGAATTTGTAATGATGACATAAAAGCTTGAATGGATCCAAGAGACGTGCCTTTGTATTCCTCACCATCGTGTGCCGAGTTGAGGAGGTGTTCTCCGAGGTCGCAGCCGAACACCCTCTCCCGGAGGATGCCTCTCTGCTTCAGCTTCTGCTTGGTGGGCCGGGACTTCATGAAGGTGCGCAGGAAGGTGATCAGCTTGCCGTGCTTCTTAGACACTGAAGAACGAGGAAAGGAAGGAAAGGACGCATGTTAGGTTGCTCACACAGCTGTTTACTTCTCTACAGTAAGTGTGGGTTTGACTCTGGATCAGATTTCACACAAGATGTGTCTGTGTGCACCGGAGTGAAAGCTCATACAAGCTGCTCTGGATTGTCCCATTGTGTATCTCAGCTTCATTCTCATGCAAACCCTTCTTTTATGCATGTGTAGTTTCCTGGAGGCTAAAGCTTGGTTCTTAAATACCACCTCCCGGGCAACTACAAAGGAATCCTCCACATCCAACACCAGTATCCTCAGCTCCCCTTCAGAACAAGACAAAAAAAGCAGCAGACCTACTTTAAAACCCCAAACAGCATTAATCAGATTCTCTGTCTGGGAAAGAGAGGTCTCATAAGCTTCTTAAACTACAAACCAGTCTTTCTCTGCTTCACAGAGATGTGGAAAGGCTATCAAGTGAATCAAAATATCTGCATTTTTTAGGAGGAGGGAACAATAAAGCGGGCCTCAGCGCTCGACTTCAGACGTTTGTTCAAAAAAATCTTTTTACTGAAAATCTCACTCTGTTAGACACTGGTGAGATGAGAGTAGCTGAGTGTTTTTCCACTTGATTGTGACTGATAAAGGCATCAATTATTCCTTTCACTGAAAATGGACTTAGATCAAGCCGTCTCAAAGACATAAAAATCAATAATAGAATATAGACATCACGCTCAAACAGTTTTAATCAAAGTTTTCCTCCGAGCACACAAGTGGCAAAGAGCAGCATGCCATGTTGACTGGACCGCAGGTGAACATCAAGGCAGATGTCATGTGGAAAATACTCAAGAGCTCTGCAGATAATTATTAAAAAAGAATTACTGCAACGTTGAAAATTTAATCCACATCTTTAAAATGTAATCACTGTTTGAATATTCAAGTACATTTTTAAAAAGACTCCCATTAATCCTGATATTTCTCAGAATATCCCCTATGTGAACTCTCTGAAACTTTAAAACCAGCATTGGCTGTGCTTTCCTCTTTGTTTTTCACTCCTTCACTGAACTGTTCAGACCTCAAACATCTAAAAAACAAAACTATGTCTCAAAGTTGTCTCTTGGTTCTTGTGTCCATCTTTTCTCTTGATTGTATATCTCCTGCCACAACTTTAAGTAAAACCTTTAGTCTTGGTTCTCATCTTTTTCCCTCCACTTGTCTCTCTTTGATCCTCTGTGATTGCTCTCTTTGTGCTGCCCCCTCGTACTCCAGTTGGACCAAGTGATGATGAAATCAACCATCAGTAATGGCTGAAGAATCATCGACCACTGAGCCCTTAAAGGCCGCCTCTTTAAAAGGATATCGCTTTAGTTTAAAGCTCATCTCCTGAATCGGCCTACATGAGTTCCAGGTTTTGACTCCAAGACTTTTTTAATGCCTCTACGTTAGTTTCCACACGGTCAAAATCACCAAGTCAAAATATGCATCTCGTTCATAGTAGTGTAAAGTGATGAAATCCCAGCACACCTCCAAGCATCACTCCTGCTGACATCACGGTCAGTTGAAGAGGAGGTCACCGTGGCAACAAAGGGCACGTAGTAACAGAAGTTAAGTTGATGTGTTTGGGGTCATTTTAGGACTCGCACATTGTACATTTTACAGCCTTTCCTACTGTTGCTCTCGTTCTGCTTTCTGTACAAAGTGCCTCTTCCCGAAACAACCATATCATTGTCCATTGTCAGGTTTCTCACACGGCCCAACCCTGCTTCACAAAGACAAAGACCAACAGCTCATTAGACCTCATTTAATGTGTCGTCTACCATTGCAAAGCTCCCCTTTCTGAATGCCTGAAACCATTTTAAGAAGATGGAGAAATCAGCAAACACATTTCACGCATTAAAAACAGGAAAAAACATCAACCCAGATACAATTGTTTATATTTAACAACTGAAGACAGCAATACAAACGTTCACTGCCTGCCTGACCTACGATCATTGTTCTCTGTCAGCGCACCGTGTTAAACTTTATCTCTGATAACATCACAATCACAACAACTTCTCAGAGACGCTGCAGGCTAAAGAGGAAGTGTTTTTATTTGTATTTCAGGACACATTCCTTTAACTGCTTATAGTCACGGTCCATCACACAACAACCTACTCCTCTGATGCTTTTCACAACCTGCTCATCATATTTTCTCTTCCTGCTCAGGACTTCAGACCAACACAAACGCACAGGTAGAAAATGAATAATGTGTTTATAATTCAGTTCTGTGAATCATTTTAGAGATATGCAGATTAAATGTCGGTACCTTGCTGAGCTCTGCTTCAAAGTGAAAGACCAGAGTTTTCAGAAGTCCATTAAAAACAGAACAAGCTGAGTTACAAAAAGCTGACATTCAATTTTCTGTTTAGACGATAACAAGAATATAAAAGAAGTGTTCAGGCAGCATGTTTCCTCACAGCGCTTTTTATTTGTCAGAAGTGATGACACTATGATTCACACACATGTGCTGTGATGAATATCATCACTGAAAACATCTTCTGTGTAAACTTAGACCATAAGTTAGGAACGACAGAGAGGCTGAGAGGCTGTTGGTTTGCATGCTAAATAGACACTGTGGATGTCGACTGTGTGCTGCACACTTAATTGACAGTCCGTCAAGTACATTTAAAATTAAAACATCAGGACCAGAGTGAAACTAATGAGCTGACTCTGTAGCTGCATTAATCTAATGGTTTCTCATTGTGCCGGCAGAATACTAACAACAATATCCACACACAGTGAGTAGGCATAGAGACATTTCAGAAATATTTTAGTGGGAGAGTTTGTATTTTTTATTATTGAACTTGTTTGTTCTTTTGAATAAAACACATCCAAGGGCAAAACCAGCTTCGATCAGAGTCCATTAACTGGTATAAGAGAACTACAATGCATGTGAAATAATTTTACAATATAGTGTTTTAATGTCAGAGGGAGCTGTGTGATGATGCATGAAAGGGGTCAGTAGGTGATAAAAACAAGACTGACATTTAAAGAAATCTTTGCCTTGGAGTTGGCTGCAAGCTAAAAAAAAAACAATGATTCAACTTAACTCAGCTTTATTTATAAAGCCCCTTCATACATAAGACCAGGCAGCCCAAAGTGATTCAAATCATCAGCAGACAGCACCCCGAGTTGACTCACATTTTGTCAGCTGATTCTCGAGTCTTCAAGAAGTCTTGAACTGACCCTTCAGTGGTCACCATTCTTAAAGCTTTACCGAGGACTGGAATATTTGAGCGGTATCGTCCTCTGTAAACAAACAGATCTGCTGCTGTGTGACATTACAAATCAGTGAGCTGTGTCTCTCTAGCTGCTTTCACACATCCACTGCACTTCTGAAAACTCCTTGAAAATTGTCAAGGAGGTGTCCATGTACAAACATAAACAGCCCAATCCATTCACCCTGATTTTGCCCCCTAGCAGTAAAAAGTTCATGTGAAGTCAGTTTGAGTTGATGTCTGAACTCTGCAGGTTAGAGTCTGGAAGATTTATGGCGAGTGAGCGGTCACGGGGTCGACGTTCAAGTTGATTGGAGCTTCTCAGCTTTATACTTCTATATTCACCTCAGTTGGCATTAGTTTGACGTTTGAGAAAACATGTTGAAGTGATGTTAACACAGAAACCGTCACTTTTTCTGAAGACTACTTCTGCTGCATACTTTACGCAGCCCCCCAGCCCCCCCTCACCTAAGCCAAAGTCTTTTGAATTTTGATAGCATGTCTGACACTGAGTCTCCCGCTGTGAGGTGCATGTGTGAAAAGTAAGCTACTGAAAATATAGGGAGCTAAATGTCCTGACATTGCCCATAAAGTGATGTAAAAAGGGACTTTCCTGATTTAAATCCTCCAGCAGGTTTAAGAGTTCAACAAAAATACAGCAGTGAAAATCAAAACATGGATGTCTGACAGACAGTCCTTTAGAGAACACTGGGGGGTTCAATCAGTACTTTACTCCTGAAAAACAAAACACATCCCTCAGTGTAGTGTGTTTTTAAGGTAGCGGCTAATGATAATTCAATTTATGTTTCAATGAATGTTTTCTAAATCTGAATTGTTTTACCTGATGAAACTCACACAGCAGCATCTTGTGCTAGTAAAATAATTGCCCATACAGCTCTCTAACTTCCTCAGCCCTTCAAGTAAATAATGAACGCCTGAAACAAACTTTTGAGATCTGAGTCTCTATAGTGTACAGTTTTAATGAAGCAGCTCAATCAATACTGAACAAACAGCGATCCTCTGAGCCGGCGTCATCAAACAAGAGCCATCGTTCCATTTCAGAAGAAACTGGAGCTACAATTGACCCCTGAGGGAGAAACTCCTTCTGTACCAGCACACAGAAACGCTGAGGCAGCTTTGTTTACTCACAGTTCAGGCATCAAAAGAGCCTTCAGTATCATGAGAGGAGGAGGGGGGGGCTGACTGTGCAAATGTGCTGGCTTACACTGACACGTCGCTTTTATTTAGGAGCACAGACTGAGTGTACGATGTGAGGAAGAGGGGTGTAGTGACAGGCATGACACTGAACCGGAGACTCCATCTGCTGAGTGTCAGAGCAGACGACAGCCTGAGGCCAGCAGCTCTGAACACAGTGACACTGTCTCTGACACACTCGCTGTTGAAACACAGGCTGTAAGGCCATTTAAGGATTATGAAGATAGACTTTAAAAATTAAAAAATAGGCAATTTAGTCTGTGACGTAGCACTGATTTACTGCTTAGGGTCTTCAAAGAGGTCCTCCTACGACTTAAGAGTTGCCATTTTATAAAGTTGGGAGTCTTGCAGGGGAGAGATAATCTGACTTATAGTCCTGAATCTGTCCTCTTTCATTATTTAACTGGAAAATGTCCATTAGACCCTCTTTCCTAGGGGAACACTCATCGTCATACTCCACAATCAAAGGGCTTTCAATTATAAATCTATTAACTGAAGCCTCAATTATAAAAGAACTCTGTCAACATCACTACCTCAAGACACCATCA